GGCCCAGGCGGTTCAAATTTAAGCATTCAGCAGTGATGCTGTTCGTGTTCCTTTGAAGGAACTGGGGCACAGGCTCCATTTAAAGCTATGCCTTATTGGCATCTTTCACTTCCATCCCCCTCTGCATGTCATTTTGCATCTCCGGGCAGATGCAGCCCTGTACAAGCCTTGCATTCAGGTCCCCCATTTATCCTTATCCACATTCGTAAGAATATGTTTGCTACTGCTCAGTCCCTTCTAGCCTGGACAAAAGCTCCAGAGCTCGTTGGATCAGACCCCAGTGAAGGCAGTAAACCCTATTGCACCGGACTTTGCATCTTACTTCTCTTATAGTTTATGTACACTGAGCACAAACAGACTAACGTGTATGTGCATGCACTTGGGATTAGCAAACCCAGCCTTCAGGTAGCTCTGTGGATTGTTTTTGTACCCAGCAAGCAAGCCTCTTAAGATTTTTAAATATTTGACAGCTAAATGGAAGCAAATGCCAAAACCAATCAATAGGTATGGGAGTGGTTGCTTGTGAGCTGTTGAGAACACAGCATACCTAAAGTACAACTCTTTGCCTTCCTGCCTTGCAAAACCAGTCCATTGCTTTTCCAAGCCCCCACATGCATGCTCTTTCAAATCACAGGCTCTTTGTGCATGACATCTCTCAGACACAACCTTTGCCACGTAACTGCACAGCTAAGTCTTCTTTGGGAACTCATCGTCAATCACGCATCTGCCTTTCTCTGGCCCTGACAGATGCAGTCGTGCCCCATCATTTCTGTACCAGCTTTTCTCTGACTGCTGCTTTTAGCATGTCATTCCAGTGCTTGCATCCCTGCCATCCTGCCCTCTTTTCCCTCACCTTTAACTTAACCACAGACATCCAAGCCTGTGCAGGCAGCTCATTATTACTTCCAAGCCCCTGAACTCCCATGGCTGTACACCTGGGAGTCAGCTTTTACCTTTGGTCAGCCCATAGTGACAGCCTTCACTGTTCTCTTATTGCTTCCTCAAGCAAGCACCTCCGGCCTTCCCCAAGCTGTCCCCTTGCTGTAAGACATTCTTCAAAGCCTCTTGGTTGTCTCCTTTCAGAAGCCATACTTGAGAAAGGAGAAAGTTTGCCTTTTTCACAAGTACCTACAAACTTGAAAAGGGTTGTGCCACAGGCACACAGAGACCTCAGCCCATTCAATACTATATACTTACTTGTGCTGCCTGTCTGCCCGGGCCCGTCTCTTGCTTCCTACCATATACATAGCCTGTAAATCTTTGGGGAGGAGATAAACATTGTGGTATGATGTTCAAATCACATCTCTTCATAGGCTCTGTGGCAGAACAGGTTGTCTTAGCACAACATAGAAAAGCCATATTTATCTTTGGCAAACATTTTTATTCTTATGTTCCTCCTGAATATTTGGGTGACAGTTCAGATCACTGCTCTTGAGTCTTTCCTGCAGCTCAGAGCTGCGGCTGATAATGCAGGATGTTGCAATAGCTCTTTTCAGCAGGTCACTGGGACTTCCTAAGTCAACACTGCCAGGAGGCTCACGAGTGGTATGGTTGAACAAAGTGCTGCACTGCATTTTGCGGTTGCCAGCCAGGTGCAGGAGGGTTTGTGTTTACATTAATCATGGTTCAGTTACCTGTTTTTAAAAATAGAGGTTTAATTCACTGCCTGGCCTTTCAGAATCCAAAATCTCTCCCCAGCATCTTAGATTTGCTTGGACTGCAGATTCTTCAGCAAAGTTTCAGCTTAAGCTAGGTTCTTGTCTTCAACATGGACAGATGGCCAGGCTTTTTGCGGAGTTGCATGGAAGGAAAACAAGAGCCAGCAGTCATAAATTGAACAGAGGAGGTTCTGACTCAATATATAGAGAGGAGTTAAAAACAACTCTATGATAATAATAAATCATTGGGGCAGCTTGCCCAGAGAGGAGGTGGTTCTTGGAGGGTTTTCAAGACTTGATTGAACAAAGCCCTGGGTGACCCATCTACACTCAGTGTTGTTCCCATTTTGGAGATCTCTAATGGTCCCTTCCAACCTGAGCAGTACTATAATTTAAAAAAATTTGAGGTGGTTGGCTAAGAAAGACACTGGAAGAAGACATGAGCATCTTCAAGTATCTAAAGGAGAAAAACAATATCCCACCCTTCTAGTCTAGAAATGGGCTTAAACTGTGGTAAGAAAAGACTTAGGTTAAATGTGAGGATGATCTTCCTAATGCTGAGGATAGCAAAGACCTGGGGTGGGCTGGTTGGGGAAAGGAAGAGACCTGCAACCACTGAGGTCTTTAAGACTTCCTCAGGAAAACTATTAGGAATAATGTAAGTTCCTAATATACTCGTAAGTATTTAACGGACTAGCTGCTTTGCAGGGTCCATTAAGCTTTATTTTTTAGCAGATCTGATGTATGCCTCAATCACTTTCATATTCATATATGTAATTAACGGGTCTTATTTGAGTTATTCTGTATCAAAGCTTTCTCATTAAACTGATAGAAAATCTCCAGATAAAAGCTTTCATTTTCTTAGCAATATGTAAATCACTTCCAACACAAATTAACATAATCGGGAGAAAACCTTGATTGGCAGTTTTTACTTACTTTTTAAAATTATCTAAGTGGAGTTCTCTGCCTTCTATTAATCTGCACTAAACTGAGTTCTGGAGAAAATAAAACCATGGCAAAGTCTTTCTACGTGAGCATCCTTGTTTGCATAAGCAGCCCTCTTCCGCCAAGCCTGTGTAGTCTACCAAACACCGCCTTCACAGGCAAAGCAATTCTTCTTCCCGAGGCTGGTGACTGAATTTTAAATGGTCTAATTAAAACAGAGCATCAGGGTTTGAACTGTTTGAGGGGTTTGTGGTGACTGATCAATGCCTTTTAAACATTAAATCCTTTCTCCCCCAAATCCTCATCCATCTAAAGAAAAACCAAAGAAAAATACTGTTATTTGTGGAGCTACCTTTATGCCTGAGATACCTTCACTGATATCTTGTCAATAGGAAAACACTTGGGTGGCAACACTCAAGCATGGTGGTAATGACAACTTTGCTAGAAAATCAGATTTATCTACTGCGAGTTGAGAGCCCCATTCAGGATTTTGAGGTTAGAGCTGCAGAGTGCATCTTTCGTCAGAAAATCACATGAACTTGGTAGATAGCTTTAAAAGTTGTTTTTATGGATAGGCTTGAGTTCTCAGTTCATCACCTGGGTTGTGCTGGAGACTCAGGCATAACCTGGACAATGAATTTAGATCTCAGCTTTATCTGGGGAAAAAACAAACAAAAACACAACAAAAGCCCAGTCGAACAAAAAAAAAAACCCTTATCCTTTTCTTTTAATATTTCTTGTACAGAGCACAATTTATCCTCGGTTCAAGCTTTGATTGTGCTCTTTGTAGATATGAGGGCAAGAGAACCAGAATATAAGTAATTTTATAAATAACATGAATGTATGGTATGATTGCATATCTTTTTTTTAAAAAGCAAAACTCTTACAGTTAAGGTTCACACCTAAAATATTTCCCTAAATGTTTTAAAGGACCAAAACCAATCATCCCTTAAAAAACAAAAACAACCCCAAAACTCCAACCCAAACAAAAAAACCCCAAAGCCAAACCCAACCAACCAACCAAAACCAAAACCAACCAAACAAAAAAGCATTATGGCAGCTCAGTCAACACTCAGCAAAGTGAAACCTGATCTCAGAAGTATTTCTTTATCGTTAAAGATTAAGATAAAGCCCTTACTCTTTTATTGCTTATTGAGCAATTCAGCCTTATGCAAACCTGTTACATCAAAAATGTGGTTGAGCCAAGGAAAGCCAGTTACAACGTGGTTTCCCTTTGAACCATTTGCAGCACAGACCTACCTGGACTTCGTCTTGGATATGCTGGAGACCTTTACTGCTCCCAGAAAGCATATCACAGCTAAATCCTGTTCATGCTGCTCGTTGCAGGTGTGTTACAAGTGGGTCAGAGGACAAGAGTGGTGCAACTGGAGCTCCTCTTTCAGTCATGGCAGTAAAATGGCCAGTACTCAAAAGACTAAAAAGCGTTAAAATGGAAAGAGGGAACAGAGGAGTAAAAGTAATCAGCCCTCCTCCCCATATAATTTAAAGATCATTAAACAATACTGCCAATATTTTCTGTGGGGTTTTTAATTCTCTCTTGCCAAGAAAATAAGTGAATGTTTGCAAGGCTACAGTGGTGATGGGGAAATAAAATTAGTGTCTGAGCTGAGATTAAAAAATGCTCAGCCTGACTTGAAGAAGAGTAAACTGGATGGTTAAAATATCCTCAAGCTGCAACTATTACAGATCCTGTTATGGTGATAAATAGAACAATAAATAAAAAGAAACCATCAGGCTGAAGATTATTTATTTTTTTTTTTTAAAGAAAATAATTTCTGAGGATTTGGCTCTTACATAAAATCCTAATTGCAACAGTTTGGTTATTGGTAGGAAAGTGGGATACACCTATTTTAGATGAGATGTACAAAGACTGTCACAGCAGATTGTTCAGCATTGCTTTACCACCTGGGTTGTTTTACCCAGGTTGTTTACTGGGTTGTTCATCTTAAATTAAAAAAAAAAGTTAGGCAAGGATCAAGAAAGATTTTAATTGCAGATACTGTATTTTCAGCGCTGTTGATGGTACATCATGCTTCAACTCTGTAATCTTTGATATGACTTCAGATCTCTTGGTTACAGTTCTGTTTTCTCTGTTTCTGCTTTCTGTGGTTTTAAACTGAGGGGGGTTTGATGGGGGGTAGTGGATAAAGCTTTCTGACAAATGTTGCAAGCACCTGAACTGCTCTATAGCACAGGCCTTCTTTATAAGTTCTTACGTTTAAAATAATTTCTGTTTCCAATTCACAATAAAACCTTTTGGTTTCTATCAGTTTTTCTTTTTTTTTTTTTTCTCTTTTTAAAGGGGATCAGCCATAGCAAGAATCATTGGCCAGAATGTCCAGAAGTCCAACAGATTTGATCCTACTGTCAAGATGTGGGTATTTGAAGAGATCATCGATGGAAGAAAACTCACAGAAATAATCAACCAGGAACATGAAAATGTTAAATATCTGCCTGGATACAAGATACCCAAAAATGTGGTAAGTTGAAAACAAAAAAAATCACTGAAATACTTTTATTTTTCTTAAGGGAGGCAACATCTGGCAAAATTAAGGAAGTAATTCACTGCTGCATTCTGGTTTGCCACCTAACTCACTCCAATATTGACATATAACTCACTGGGATATAACTCACTTTTGTGACTTCTTGTCTCACGTGTCACACACAACTTCAAAGAGCCAACTGTCAGGTGCTGGTAACGCGCCATCCTCCTCTCTGGCAGAAATCAGAACAACTCTATAGATGGCAGGCAGAGATCTATCTGTCTGCATGGAGCTATTTCAAACCCACAGCATCCCCTGGAAAGAAAAGGGAAAGCTGCTGCTCTCCCTTCTGAAAAAGGAATCAACAGCACAGCTAACAGCTGTGGCTTACAAGGGGCTGAAAAATGAGCTATTGGCTCATAGGTAATTTCAGGCTAGCAACATGCTGCTATAATTAATAATGCTGTAAATTCCACCAAAAATATAAGGTATTTAATCTTCATGAACATTTAAAATACCAAGTTATGCATTTCTAATTAATCTAATTAAACTAATCAGCTTAGATGATTTACTGCTACTGGAGCAAGCAAGGTGAAGAGTTTTGCCTGTTCAAGATTTTACCAAATGCCACTGTTTTGTCCACGTTTCTGGACCGTTGCAGTGGTAAAAGGAAGTTAAGACACTGCACATGATGGGTCTCCATGCTTGGAGAGTGGTTATATTTAGTACTGCATTTAGTGCTGCGATTGCATATTTGCACTCCCGTGGTTTGAACTTGGCACACAGTTCTCCTGGGGTACAATTGACTTGTCACTTACTTTTACAACCTTCTAGCAGGTCAACAGGCTTGTCATCACCACTTGAGATCAGCCTCATCCTCTCTACAGCAAAGTCTGAGCCTTCACCAGCAGTAAAGCCTGGAGAGACCCTCACACCTTAATCTCTGACTGAGGGGAAAAAAACCCACAACCAACCCCAACTAAATTTTCCTTGCATTGCTCTGCAGCATTTTGGAGAGACAGGAGCACAGCCTGTACAGCATTGTCAGCCTTTGCCCTGCTCCCACTTTGCTGTTGTCCTGGAGAAGCAGCCTTGCTGGCAGCAGTTCTGGTTTTCCCGCTGGGAATCCTCTTGCTCTAAGGCTGTGTGCTCCAAGGCTGCGTCCAAGAGCGATGTTTTCCATAACTGTAAACTGCTTGTGACAGCAGGCTCAAAATCACCTACCATTGCTTCTGCAGCCTGGCTTAAATTGTTCTGAGTAATGCTAGCGTTTGGAGAAAGATACAGCTTGCTAGTTATTAAGCATGTTGTATAGGGTCTTGTAATTATTGGTCAAGTTATTATATATCTAAAACAGAGACACATAACCCCCAAAGATTATGATAATCTCTGTATTTTTATATAGTTTATTCCTGGCTAAGTCTCAGCTGGTGATGTATGGAAACTAAAGACTGCCAGAAGAGGCTCTGTCTCACCACCCCAGTTTGTTCCTGGGCTCCTAGTACTACCGTTGATTCCATAAGAACCATATAGGGTTGCTCAGGAACTGCCCGAAGAAGCTGAACCAGCAAAGGGTCTTCCCAGGATGCTGCAAGTTTAGAAAGTATAGTGCCTTCCCCAGATTATCCACACAGGACTGGGATAAATTATAAAAAAAATATTAAAAATCCAAACCTAAAATAATTAGGCTGCTTTGGATATTTCAGAAGAGATCTGTAGCTGCTCAAATGAAGAGCAGCTATGCCACAGTGACAGTTAAAATTAAGGCCATTTGCAGCACATCTGCGATGGCTTTGGCACATTGTTATCTTGCAAGGTGCGAGGATTCCTACCTGGGCTCATTTTGGTTGTCACTCTTGTCCCAGGTGGCTGTACCAGACGTGGTCGAAGCAACAAGCTGGGCAGATATTTTAGTGTTTGTTCTGCCACATCAATTCATTGGACGAATCTGTGAGCAGATTGCAGACCACATAAAGTCCGGGACATTTGGGATTTCCCTGATCAAGGTAAGTTGTCATCTCCACAAGACTCCATCTGTGTGGAGTAAATAAGTAGCTTCAACTTAAGGGCAGGAGCTCCAGCCCTCAGCTGCATGCTCTACATAAAAACAAACATTTCTTTCTGCAAGAGTTAAAACTTACCCGGCCTCTGCCAACCCTTCTGCTGCCCATGAGAGGAAAGGATGGGGCAACCCAGCCAGGCTGAGTGTCTGTCTTTGCCAGCCATCTTTAGCCTGGATAAGTTCCCACTTGGACCAGCATGGAGGTGAAAATGGACAGAAGGAGGACTGCACAAGCTGGTGCTACTGCCAGAAAAAATACTCAGACTACAGCCTCAACTCTTAACTGGCAAGAGTGCTGGGTCAAAGTGCCTCTTCCAAGTACGTGCTAAAGTTGTTCTTGACAGCATTAAAATGGCACAATAACAACTAATGATGTTGCAGAACTGAGACAATTTCAATCTGGCATGAACTGAGGAATCTCTTTTTAAGGTTAGAGGTACCGGATTATAAGAATCTTAAAAGGAATTAATATTTTAAGAGAATCTCAAACTAAAAGCTAGAGGCAAAGCATAGGAACACAGTCTACCTCTTCTTCTTTTGATTGCATTACAGAAAATATCCAATTTAAACTTGTAATAAAAGAAATGTAATTCAAGTTTTCAGACTGCAATACCAGGTCTTTCCCTTTCTCCTTTGTTCTCCTATAGAAATTATCTCACAAGCAGCAGTACATGGAGGAGAGGAGGTTGGGAAGAAAGGAAAATCCTGCAAATTTACTTCTTTAGCTTAAAAAAACCCAAACCCAAACAAGACAGTTCCGTGTACTCAGTAATACCAGTGAAGCACTCAGATTAATACTTAAATCTTGCAAAAAATCCACTGCTTATAGGCTTAAATTTAAAAGTCTGGTTCTGTACTACAGGAATTTAACACAAAGGAGTAGTACAACATCAAAGAAAGCCTCAGGAAAGCAGTACTGTATGTGAGGCCTCTTGCAAGGTTACCACACTGTCGCTTATCTTTTCCCTGAACTTGCCTTGGATTTGCAGTTATCAAAGTACAAACTGAGAGCGTTCATGTCAATGACTAATGCTAGTAAATATAAGACCAGTTAAAACCAGAGAGCTGCAGGCAATAGGACACTTTCTGCTTTACCAGTGCTCCGCTGCTGTCATTTTCTTATTCTAACAACTTGGCTTTGACTATCATCTTTTATTCAGGGCATCGATGAGGGTCCCGAAGGCCTGAAGCTCATATCTGACCTCATTCGAGAGAAACTAAAAATAGAAATCAGTGTGCTTATGGGGGCCAACATAGCCAAAGAAGTGGCTGATGAGAAGTTCTGTGAAACCACCATTGGTAACTATTGCAAAGAGCAGATTAGAGCTGCTGGCTGTGATTTAACATCACCTGTGGCTGGGCAACAGGGATAACCTCTGGAGGAAGCAGGGGGGTGCGATGGGTCCCAGGTGGTTCCCGAGTGACACAGTGCCTGCTGAGCTCATTCAGGGATGCAGCATTATTTCCAGGGAGTTCAGTGCTGGCAGGATTAGGTCCAAACTGACAGTGGGTTTCAGTGCTAAAAGCTAATTTTATCCATTAAAAAATTACAGCTTAATCCTGTTTCTGTAGGAGTTGGCAAGAGCCACCTTTTGTGTCTGTACAGCTCAACACTGAGTACATCAGCAGTTGATACACTATACAGCATAGATAGAGAAGTGTAATCAGAAGCTTGTATGTGCTCATGCTCCCCAAGGTGTATTTCTCCATCTTCAAAATTTCTTTGTTTGGAAAAAAACCCAAAAAACCCACCAAACCAAAACCTCAGTAACATTCTGTTCCTCCCTCCCATTCCAACTGCTTGCCAAGACAGCCTCAGATGCTCCCAGCACTGGGTCTGACCTCATTTGGAAAGTTTATACAGTAGTTTTTAAAACCCATTGATTTTTAAAGTCAGTCAAAATTAAAGTTACATCCTTCCATAGGAAGGAAAAAAAAAAAAAGTAGTGATACTGCTCCTTTGCCTTGCAGATTTTACAGTGATAGTGAATATCATCTTTTGCAAGGTTTGTGGTTATACAAGCTTTCTGAGGCAGAAAGTTGTGTTGGGGGCTATCTACTTATAAGTTCATTAAAGAGTCATTAGGCGATGCTTGGCCAATGCCATGGGACTTGCATACATTTAACACTGGCTCCCAGCAGCCATGAGCTGCTGTCGCACATATGTCTTGTTTAGTAGCACCCAGTTACTGGGACAACAAACCCAGGGACCTTATTTCAGGTTTCAGTTAATTGTGTGTACTCTGAGACGCTGCAAACCCACCCTGTCACCTTCCTTCCCACAGGCTGCAAAAACGAAAAACAAGGGGAAATCTTTAAAGAATTAATGCAGACCCCCAATTTCAGGATTACCGTGGTGCTCGACTCTGATACAGTGGAGATCTGTGGAGCCTTAAAAGTGAGTGATTTCAAACCAAAATGTTCTTAGTAGGACCAAATTCTGCCCTCACTTGAGTCTTCTGTAGGGCACGGAGTCTAATATGAGATACCACCGCGTGACTGAGTGAGCATGGATGTGTAGTTCACGTGCCAGTTTTCCAACCTGTAAAGAACGGAAAATTTACTTAAAAATATCACTGCTGGCAAAGCATTTCCAAAGAGTTGTATTTTTACTTCTACTTTACCAGAGGCACCTCTGCTTCTGAGAGCAGAATTTAGCCCACTGTATTTTCTTGTCTGCGCATTGTAAGCGCATGTAATAGACTCTTATTACATGTAGTAGCTCCCACTAATAACTTATTTCCATGGTTCAAGTAGTAACGTGCTAGAAAGTTTGCATCAGAAGCAGGGCTCTGTGCTCAGCATGTCTGTGTGTCATCCAGCAATGCCCAGGTCGAGATCTCAGGCTCGATCAGAAATGATAACAATCACCAAGTTTGCAATGAGGCAGCACATTCGAAGTTTGATTTTAAATGTGCTGAAAGTGACTCCAGCCTGTGATCATTTGTACTTTTTTATTCATTCAATGATTTGTACTTCAGTAACTGACCTTTCCTTGGAGAAGTGGGGGAGGTTAGGAAAGAATTGGTCCTGTTTAACCTTACATACAAAAAGAAAAGTTTCTTTACGTACAAACCCAAATATCCCCTGATTTTGCTTTTGGCCACAGACTGGAACTGGGGGCAGGCACAGAGGGGAGAGGGGTTGTTTCTGCTTTGTGGGAAGTCTTCGTTCTTCTTGAAAGCGTTGCTTTGGCATTGCCTTTGCTAAAGACAAAAAGTGCACCAGAGCACGTGCGTGTCAGGTGAAAACACTTCAAGCACTTCAATGGCAGTACTTGGTGACATATTACTCATGCACACTGAACTACACTTATTTAAGGACTTATTCAGGGCTGAGAATTGGGAGGTGGAAAGAGGTGTGTGCAGGACAATGGCAAGGAATTGTGAAGATGTTTAGGATCCCAAAAGATTTGTTTAGAGCTGTAGAAAAGGGCAATACTACTGACTGCTTTTGCAGGTGAAACCCAGATTTGATCTCCTGCAGCATCTCTACATAGAACCCATGCCTGTCTAAATTAGAGACCCAAAGACAAAACCTAGAAGGGCATGACCCCATGTGGGATGTTTTAACTAACTAAAACAGAAAGGTCAGTGCATCCCAACTTGGAAGTAGCAGAAAAACAAAACATTAATTGCATACACACTACGTGATTGCAGTATATTAAACAAGCTGCTTTGATTTTTGCCCATGAGGATAACAATAGATACTTCTAAAAACTCCTCTAGCAGTCCAGCCACTTTTATTTAACAATAACTGGCTGTCCACCTCATCAGATAAGCTCATGGCCATTGGAAATTGCAGACAGATTTGTGGGATTTTCTTAAAGCTCAGTGCATGCTGACAAACCGCACGTCTTTCCTGATCATCTCCTTTCCTTTCCTCATCATCTCCTTTCTTTTCCTCCTCTGTATTTCACAATAACCTGGTTATAGAACATCGTAGCAGTGGGAGCTGGGTTCTGCGATGGACTGGGTTTCGGCGATAACACAAAGGCAGCAGTGATACGCTTGGGCCTTATGGAAATGGTGGCCTTTGCCAAGATGTTCTGCAGGGGACCAGTATCAACAGCCACTTTTCTGGAAAGCTGCGGAGTTGCTGATCTAATCACTACCTGCTACGGGGGACGCAACAGAAGAGTAGCAGAAGCCTTTGCTCGCACAGGAAAAGTAAGGAAGATTTTGAAATATTTTACACTAACACATGAAGAAATCCTTCTGTGTTTTACAAAGGCATCGTTAGCCATTTACCTTCTCCATAACTGCTGGCACTGCAGCAGTATCCCCTCTGATCCAAGTAACCAGTCTCCTATCTTCTAGTCCATTCAGGAACTGGAAAATGAGATGCTGAACGGACAAAAGCTGCAAGGTCCTCAGACCTCAGCTGAAGTCTACAAGATTCTGAAACAGAAAAATATGCTCGATAAGTAAGTGCTTTTATTTAAAACCCCCAACTGAATCAACAACAGATTATGACTGATTCACAACCTCCTTAACAGTACTTCTGTTTAATTACCGTGTTCATTTCTGCAACAACTGCTTTCTACATCATGGGCCACTGTTAGAGCTCAGCTTCACCTGTTTCCTCATTGCCGTGGTCAGTAGAATGGGGTGAAGGCTAACTAGCATTAGGAGAAACAAGCCATACACATGTAGGAAACAAAAGAAATAATAATCCAAAGGAGCTATCCAGACATCCCTGTTCCCTTAAACAAGGCTGAAGGCCATACAGAGTCAGCTTGCAGACATGATCTATGGGTCAAAGGGTTTCTTGCTCTTAGTATATCACCGTTAAAGCTTGCAGCAATTGCTCTCAGGGCAAACGTTAAGTAGGTTATCTCAGTATAAAATCTGGGAGCATACTCCTAAATAAAACTTTTTACATGCATTGGGTAGGTAATACGTGCCAAGATATCAATGCTTTAGTGCCACAAATAATGCTGAGATAAAGGATAAAAAGAACCTCTAATTCTTTGGGATGACGAAAGATTATAATTTTAAACCTTTGTCTCAGTTTACGCAATAGAAAAGCTAAACTTCCTTCCATCCCATTCCCTCTCGTACAAGAGCAGTACTGAGAGGCCAAATGCCACTAAAGGATACGTAAAAAACCTCCAACTATTAGAATTATAACAGATACAGAAGATTCAAATGGCATTGTCTTTCACAAATGAGAAAAGAAAAGCTCCTTTTGACAGGATGCGAACTTTAAATCAAACTTGATCTAATAAGTATCCTATAATTGCACTTCGTTACACACTCGGCTCCAAGTCATGCAGCAGACTCATTTTTTACCATGTAATGACTAAGGCAACTTGGAAAAGGGAAAGAACCTTTTAGCCAGGAAAAGAAAGTTGTTAGACATTCTCGTTCTTTTTAGTTTTTTAGATCTGAGTAATGAATGCAAACAACACCTGCATTCTGCACACAGGAGGAAAAAGAGGATATGCAATTCAAGATTATTTTTTTAATGAAAAACACTGGATAGGCATTTTGTCTCTAAAACAGCTTTTCTGTGCTGTCACCCCCAAGAATTGCCTCTAGTTCCTCTTAATTGCCCTGTAGAGTCTTCCAGCAAAGGCACCTCCAGGTTAAAATCACATTGTAAAGAGAGAGAGAAAAAGAGAGTGATATTTTTTCCTTCCCACTATAATCAGAACAGAAATGTTTATTTGTATCAACATTTAAAACTATTTTCATTGCTACACACTCCTTTCAGGTTTCCATTATTTACAACCATCTATAAGATCTGCTACGAGGGTCTATCGATCCAGGACTTCATCACGTGCCTGCAGAACCACCCAGAGCACTTTTAGAGATCCCTTCTCCTCACCTGGTTGCATTCTCATCTTCCCAGGACTTCTGTCAACTCCACAGCAAATAAAGTAGAGGACCAGGTTGTGTGACAGTGCTTGCTGTAAAAGCAACGAAGAATGTATTTATTTCCACATCCTCATTCTGGGGGTAAAAACTGCCTTTAAGTTTAATGCTATACCCAACAGGAAATGAATGTAAAATTTAACAGTATTTGAGTTACTAATGTGGCATTTCCCTAGAATTACTTTCTTGCCAGTTGCAAACACTCCCCCTTGTAAGGAACTCAATCCAGCTCATGTGAAGCTCAACATTTTGCCTACTAATATTGCTTACAGAAGAGCACAAGATGCAGAAAAATTGAAGGACTCATCCAAACAGACAAACTATAGTAAAAAAAAGGCCTGACAGCAGTAAAATGCAATCACACGGGCAAATGTTGAGTTTCCATAATTCCCCTCAAGCACAAGCATCATTTTGTACTTCGTGTCATTTATTCCTTCCTTGATTTCATTTCCCAGTGTAGGCTTTTTTTGAAAAATAGGTATTGTCACCGCATTCAGACACACTCGAATGTTCAGCAGATGTAGACATAAAACAGCTTTAGGGGCAGGGTGAAGGAGACATAAGGGGTTTCTTGGTGGGGGGGATGTTTGCTTCAAATTCAGGACACTCAGAAACCTCAGTAGTAGCTTGACCTTTGTGAAACTTACTGTACTCCATTGAAGTGCAGATAAAACAGTGCGAATAACCAAATACATTTGTGTTAGGGTCAGGGTTTCTCAGCAAGCCATAGTCATAAATTGGTAGGAGCTGAGAGGGAAGCAGTGGAGGTTGACAGGGAAGGTGTATGCACAGCCCAGCCTGCAGCTTGTGCAGTGCTGCTGTTCTGAGGACACAACCAGTAACAGCAAATCCCCCCGTGATACTTGACTTTTTATACGTGCATGAAAACGACCGCTGCAGACGCACAGAAATGCTGCAAAACTGCATCTGACGCTGGGTTGCAGTTTAACTCTGCTGGGAAGCTCCACTGGGCTGACACCAGTGCAGCTTCCCGCATCGTCCCACGCTGCGGGATAATGCCCGACCCTGCTGTGGCTTAAGCACCGCGTCTCGCAGTTGCGGAGAGGGATCTCTATCTACTTCTGAATTTTAAACACAAACTGGTTCATAGAGCAGGGGTTTTATTTTGCTACTGCCGGCACTAATTTTGGAACATTAAAAGTTTTTAAACGTTATAGCTGCACTTGGGTAACTTTACATACCTGATGTTTTTCACAGTTAAAGCCATCTATAGAATGAACAGTGGCACATTTTATAAGCTTTAATACCCTTTTGAAAGAGTCCTATTTTGAGACAAGGCAAACAAAAAGGAAGAGTAACCTACTTTTGCTTTGCTTCATCCGATTTTCCAAAACAGCAGAGAGGAAGGCAAGTAGGGTTTTTTAATCTACAAATTTGCTGACACATTGCTTCGGGGAAAGAAAAAAGAAAAGGGAAAAAAACAAAAAGCCAGATTATAAAATCATCTTTACTCTGCATTTCGAGGAGTGTTGTTCTCTCTTTCACATTTATCAGAGTAATATATATAAATGTGCTGTAATTATAAATCTATTGTAAAAAGCTCAGTCTCCCACAGCCAGCTCGGGTACCAGAAGCTGCAGTGGTGCTGATCCCTGCTGCAGAGCAGTGAAGGCAGCTCTGTGTCCGGTCACAGCCACCGCAGGCAATGCCATCATTCCTTCTGCTGAAGCGGGAACCGTAGCCAAATCCTTTACACAAAACTGGGCATGATGATCTCTCATTCCAAGTGGATAAAGACATAAATATTGCATAATTTTTAAGCATCAAATAGACGAAGATGGGATAGAGAATTCAAGAACCTCCCCACTTCTCCGGCAGGCTGAACTTCTGATAAGTCATGTATGAGCTAATAACAACACAGAACATTTCAAATTCAAAGTGTATCAAATAACAGTTTAATAAAGTGATCATTATGCAGACTTAATGTCATTTCATGTTTCAAAATTCCCTCAAAAATGACTGTTGTAATGGTGGTCTTTTATTGTGTTTATTCTTACAGTTAATAAGTGTCAGCTCAAAGGAAAGCACAGGAAGAATCAATTTTCTAAAGACATTTTATTGATGAACATTTTTTCCTTCTTTTGCATGATATACTTTTTTTTAAACAGTAAAATAAAGAAATTTTTACTCCATAAATAACAAAAATTAGCCCTTACATCTCAATCCCATCAAAATCTATGTAAAATAGTTTGTTCTATATTTACATTCTGTACTAAAATAGGAAACAAATGTTCAAGGTCAGCCAGTTGTCTCACAACAGTTGCTTTATCTCCAAGGTAAGCTTCACATTAAAAAGGCAACGTTTGTGTTTTGGAAGTCTGGTAGCATAAGATCACATTATTCAGCTTACAAATAGACCCAAATCCTGAAGATTGTTACATCTTGCAGGGGAAAGACTGCGACCTGCTCAGCCGGCTGAAAGCCACATGTGGGAAGTTCTCTCTCTGTAATTAACCTACATGCGAACTTGTAACAGTCTCCCAAGATCTTAATTTGTTTCAAGAGCAATGGATTTCCAGCTTTCCGTGTGGTTTCACTTGCTGCATGTTCCTCCTCACAATTATTTGAAACATTAGGAAAATGTCTTCCTAAAATAGGACGTGCCTCGACTTCTAATTGAACTGCTACAGATTGGAACTACGGGGGTGAAAGAAAGACCGCAAGACTAATTTACTTCCATCGGCAGCTACGGAGTGTTTAAAAAAACTAAAGCTGTGGGCATTACACACTGAGCATGTTTCTGCTACAGACAAGCTGACTCCATTATCTCTGAGCACCATCTCCAAGGCTCCTGCTGCCCCATCTTCACTGGTGAACACACAAAGGCGTGTTTGGGCTGTATTTCAGAGTTTTCACACATCAGAGATGCAGTAGGATGGACCTGCCACAATAGGGGTCAGGATACCTAAAGTAGCTGCCTGCAAACTCTGTATTTATTCAAAGCCAACACTGGCTTTTACAGGGCAAACTATGTTTAAGGCTACGGACCTGATTGGTTTAAGCTACAATTTTAGCTTTGTTCTACAGTCAGAAATGGCTTATGCTTCCTCCTGTAATTTATTTTGCTCTTAAAAACCTGAGATGTGTTTTTACTTCATTTTAAGGTTTGGAAGTTCACAGCAGGCTAGAAGCTTAAGTCAAACAGAACTGAGGTAGTCAGGTTTACTCAGATACTCTTTTTGACAGTCACCGATTCATTCTCACTTTAAATTGAACTCAACACACCTCTTGGCAGTTCCAACACAGCTTCAGCTGCTGTCGTACTGACAGGACAGAATGTGTTGGATTTTGCTGGCTAAAGCACCTTCCTTGCCTGACTCCCCAAAGCCACATCCAGTTCCACAGTTCACAGCCAGTTGCAGGGGCTGAACACCAAAGAAGTTCTAACTGATACTTCAGATTATTAAGGCAGTAAACGTTTTACTTCACTGATGCAGCTACTCAGCAAGGCCAGGTGAACCCAACCGTAAGAGCTCTGACAGGCAGGCAGCGTTTCCCCTGTGGGTGCAACACACTAGGGCCTCTTTCTTTAGAGAATGCATACAATTCAGAAATAGGTGAGCACTGAGTTTTTAAGCCATCTTCCAGTAATTCTCATGAAGATAGAATAAAAGAAAAACCCTCAAGATAAACAACTGTGTTGAAGATAAAAATATTCAATTAAATATGACAAATTTCACACACAGACAGGAGACCAGCATATCAAATACTGAGCACAATAAATTAACACCAGTAAAAAAGTTTAACAGTTATAAAGTTAACCAGAAAGTTCAGACAGTGCAAATATTTCACAGTAAGAAAAAATAAACAATAATTTCTTTTCAAGTATCAAAAGCATTGTTTTGTTGAGTGATACCATTTAAACTGTATTATTGCACAACAAAAAATACAATATCAGCCTCTGGGACCTAAGATGTATTCTCAAGCCTTTATGTTTTCAAGGAATCAATTGACACTGACTGTTGATTGTGCATATATTAAAATAATCAGTGTTCACTTATTAATCTGAGTGTTTCTTAATTGGAATTAGTACACATTTAAAGCATTTAATTCCTAATTTGTATTGCTTCTCAGAAACACCTACTTAAGGCTAGCCTACGCCTTGTATAATTCAAAGCAAACTTAACCTGCAGTTAAGAAGGGGAACTAGCCCAGTGCAAGGTACTCTCTTGACTGTGATGCCTTCAGATAGTTCCAGGTTGCAGCTTACTCACCTCAGCGGTGTTGTAAGAGTTTCTTTAAATAAAAAAACCACCAAGTGCAGTAGGCACAAAGATTTTCTTACAATTACAATGGAAGTCCTACTGTTAAACAAGTTAATGGTAGCTAAATAAATTTTACTCCATCCTCTTTCCACCTACCTTTCATTTTAGAAGGGATCTAGTCACTGACAATTCTAACACCACAGCACATTTATGAAGCAGATCAACATGATCCTTTTGCTCATACTTGCATTTTTTAGGGCACTGGGCATATCTGCTCCCTCCAGTTTAACACTTTTCCAACAACGAAAACTATCCTAACAGGACAGACAGTGGCCTGGACCACCTAAGAGTTTCTTTTACTCCAAACAGGATTATTTGCTATACATTATAGGGTCACAAACAAATACAAACATCCTTACAAGTGTTGCATAGAGCAGCTGTCCTTAGGTAGACAGATTTTGCTCCTTTCCTTTCTTTTACATATTTTGACCAGCAAGTGATTAATTTTGTACCAAGCTGTGCCCTCATGTGGTTCAAAATGTCCAATTCTCAACTTCTTACAAACACTCAAATAATCCATAGTATTTACATGTCCAAGAAGAAAAGTGGAGTTAAAAAAAAAAAAAGCTAAAGACAATTTCTTTACACATTCAATACCAGTTTTGGTTTAGAGAACTCACATGGTCCTGTAAGATAATAGCTGCCATTGCTACTTGCTTGCCCTTTAACAAAAAGTGAGAACAGCCGCATTTTGTTCATACTTCTTAAGAGAAAAAAGC